GCATCTGTCTCTTCAGCAGCTAAGGTATAAGATTGGAACCTGGGCTTTGGCACTCAAAAGCACCTATATCAGAAGAGCAAGGTGACGATACAAAGTAACAAGGATGGGAAATTCCACCTGGGCAATGGGTAACCCCATGTACACAGGTGGCAGTAGCAGAAACATCTAGAGTCTACCCCATGTTGTTAGTAGTGTAAGCTGGGGATTCGGTCCAGTAGTGGCAGCAGCAGCAGTAGAGACCTCACAAGTTCTGTGTCATCACATGCAGCCTTGTTTTGGGCTCTGCATCTTTGTTCCTTAGCATACTAAGATTTTCTATGAACAACTTAGTATTCTTTGAATTTCTTATCTACTCAAATTTTAAAAAGATAGAACATTGACTGTAACCAATATGTTTCCATTAAAATGGGAAATAAAACAAAGATGGCTATAGTAGAAATTACTGTGGGTGATAATTAATCATAACTCTTCCTGATTTCTGGACTAATTGAGAAATAGACTATTTTTGTTGGTAATACCTTATTGAAAAAGGCAGCTTCAATCTGGAGTTAAATGTATAACTTAGTACTTCACTTAAACTCTAGATATTGGGAGACAAAACAAGCAGAGGAATGGGCCTGCAGAGTAGGTATAGAGAATCATAGCCTGTCCCAAGGAACATGAGAAATTCAGTCACATAAAGGGAGGTGATTTATGTATTTTAACGCATTTCACCAAAGAAATAAATCATTTCTCTTACAACACACAAATAAGAGATGAAAACAGAAAACAGAAATTATCCTGAAAATCCAACCCTTCAGTCTGTTAAAATGCAGGAATTATGGTTAAAAAAAAAAAAAGTCTTGCCACTGTTCTCATGTCTACAACATAAAAAAAAGTGAAATAGGTATAAATACTGTGAGATAGATATAACTTTATCCACAGATTATAAAGATCAAGAGTCTATCATTTTATAATCAATACCCTAATAAAAGATACTAAGTTTTCAAATATTACTAGCATATCTTAAGTATTATGAAGCACTATATCATACAGATATCAAAAAGATGAAAAGTTGTCAAAAACATTTGAAACGTGTATTAATATTCACTGAAGTTCAATGTGAATTCATTTTTAAATAATATTTAAATTGAATAAAATTCAAAATATAATCCCAGAGGCACCTGGGTAGCTCAGTTGGGTAGATGTCTGCCTTAGGCTTGGCTCGTGATCCCGGGGTCCTAGATGGAGCCTCACACCACGATCCCGGCTCAGCAGGGAGTCTGCCTCTCCCTCTCCACCTCCCTCTCTCCCTCTCCTCATGTTCTCTCACACTTTCTCTCTCTCCCTCAAATGGATGGACAGAATCTTAAAAAAAAAAAAAAAAGCAATCCCAAATCATTTTTCATTGGAACTGGGTAAAATAATTAATTTTAATAAAGAAGCATTTGTCTTTATTTTCAAGTAAAAATTATGTTAGGAATATACAAATCTCGGGCAGCCCGGGTGGCTCAGTAGTTTAGTGGTGCCTTCAGCCCAGGGCGTGATCCTGGAGACCCGGGATCAAGTCCCACGTCAGGCTCCCTACATGGAGCCTGCTTCTCCCTCTGCCTGTGTCTCTGCCTCTCTCTCTCCTCTCCGTGTTTCTCATGAATAAATAAATAAAATCTTTAAAAAAAGAATATACAAATCTCTATTTCCAAGTAATAAGTTACTAAAAAAAGTTTAAGTCACAGATTGCTGGAAAACAGAGTACAGAAATAGATCTGAGAAATGAGCATTTAATATATAATAAAAGTATTTTAATCTAGTAGGAGAAAGAGGAATAGTTCAATAGTTGTTTCTGGCATAATTGGGTTTATTACTTTTTTTAAATTTTTATTTATTTATGATAGTCCCAGAGAGAGAGAGAGAGAGAGAGAGAGAGAGAGAGAGAGAGAGAGAGAAGCAGGCGCCATGCACCGGGAACCTGATGTAGGATTTGATCCCGGGTCTCCAGGATCGCGCCCTGGGCCAAAGGCAGGCGCCAAACCGCTGTGCCACCCAGGGATCCCATAATTGGGTTTATTTCTGAATGGAAATAGCGCTGACATCCTATATTACACCATATATAATGATGAATTCCAGGTGTATTGTTAAAATCTGTGTGGGTGTATACACACCCACATATATGAAAAACTGCACTCTATTCCTTTATCCTCTTCCCTCTGAAAGTTTCTATAAGCAATACCATCCTAAGAAACAGAAAGTATTGGAAACTAATTTTATAGAAATGAAATAAATAGACAAGAATATAAAATAAGAATGTTTATTGAAGCACTACTTTTAAATGGAAGAGAGGAAATAGTCTGAAATATCACAGTGGAGGAATAGTTGATTAGGTATTGATATAAGCACACTTGGGTATGAAATATTATGTAACCATTTAAAAAACTAAATCATCATTTACTGACTAGGGAAATTCAAAATGTAGTTGAATTTAAAAAACACATTACAAAGGGTATCATCGATTTTTTTATATAAATACTAAAAGTGTTAATATTTAAGCATAAAGAACCATATGGAGGATATACGTAAGGTTCAAACATTACTCAGAAGGAAATGGACAGGTTAAGATAAGAGTGAGGAATAACGAAAGACAGATTTTTTGTTTATTGGTATTGCTTCATTGCTTTGGGTGCAAATGCATTACCTCTAATTTTTGATGAGGAAGTCAATGACTTAAAACTGGGTCATAAAAGAATATAAAATTTTATTTAGCAGTCCTCATTTTGATAGTAATGGAAAATATGTGAAATACCTGTTTTAACTAATACCTGTTTTTACTAATTCTCCCATTTGCAGACATTTTGCTCACTTCTACTTTTTTAAAAAATTAATTTATTTTATAGACAGAGAGCACCCACGTGAAAGTAGGGGGTGGAGGAAGGGCAAAAGGAGAGAGAGAATCCCAAGTAGATTCTGTGCTGATTGTGGAGCTGGCTGCAGGGCTTGATCTCACAACCCTGAGATCATAACCTGAGCTGAAATCAAGAGTTAGACGCTCATCTGCCTGAGCCACCATGCACCCGACTCCACTTTTTAAAAATTGATCATAAAATACTTCACAGGCATACGCCTGTAACAAATAACTCAATGTTTTGTTTTTTTAACCCTCTAACATAGGATCTAAGAAAAAGGAAGTGGGGAGTGGGGGTTTGGAGGAATGGAAGGACAGACCCGTAAATATGGACATAGGAGATTTTCCTTCCAAGACTGTTATCCATCCAATGCAGGAATTTGGTTGCTAAGCATGAAAACTGAGGTATAGAAAAGATCTATTTCAAAACTAATCTAACCTAAACAAAGCTAAGATGTGGGACCTTTTCTTAACTTCAGAATGCTTAATCTAGGAGTTATGACAGAGTTGAGTAGTTGCAAACTACTAAAATATAGTATGGCTCACAGGGCTAAAATATTTACTACCTGGCCCTTAATGGGAAGTCTGCTAACCTTTCATCTAGAACACAATACATAATGCCAGGAACATATTTGCTGCTAGTTCAAAATTGTGATGGTCGGGTTAGTTTTCCTCTTCACAGGTTAACTATTCTTGAAAATTTCAGTGTGTATATAGCTCAACAATGGGATATGCAACATACAAAATATAACGAATTTTTAAACTTAGTATGATGTTTAGAATAAAGAACTCTAAAATATTGGGGCTAGATCAAGTCCTCAAAAAAATCCTTACACTTGGGAGCTTAGTTACTTCATCTCTGGAAATATCTTAATCTAAACCCATTCACAACTAAGAAATTCTAACAAAATAAATTATCTTGTGTTGTACCATTCATTTGCAACCCTAAATTTGCTTGGGACCAAGGAATTTGCACTATTAAAAACTCCTCCGATGGAGCATCTGGTTAGGCAGTTGGTCAGGCATCTGCCTTTGGCTCTGGTCATGATCCAAAGGCCCTGGGATCCAGTCCCAAATTTGGCTCCCTGCTTGTGCTCTCAAATAAATATAGTCTTTTTAAAAACAAAAAATAAATAAAACCTCTTCCTGCAAGCCTTCTCACATTCACTGCTTTAGTCTCCAGGGCAAAAGTAAGTCACAGGCTGTTTGTACAGTTGACATATCTCCTTTGGTCCTCAGGGGGTCTTTAAAAACCTGAGCTACCATTTAAAAATCAAGAGCTGGGCAGCTTGGGTGGCTCAGCGGTTTAGCACCGCCTTCAGCCCAGGGCCTGATCCTGGAGACCAGGGATCGAGTCCCAGGTCAGGCTACCTGCACGGAGTCTGCTTCTCCGTCTGCCTGTGTCTCTGCACCGCCCCCCCCCCCACCCGCCGTGTGTCTCTCATGAATGAATAAAATCTTAAAAAAAAAAAAAAAAAGCTATCACACACACAAAATCTGGTTTCTCCCTCCAAAATCAGAAGAGCTGGCAAAATGGGGCCTTCATTTCCTTACATCAGTTATCTGGAACAGGGAACTGGGTATTCACTTAGGTACTGGCTCAACCAGTTTCATTTCTATTATTAATAGTACCTACAGTTTGCTAGTTTCTTCAGTATGCTTGCATATATCTTCATGGATGATATTAAAAAATAGCTTCCCTTTTTGGGTGTCCTAAGATTGTTCTAACATCAAGTTATATTTGAGTATGTTATGAGATGTCTAACTCTGTATAACAAATAGTTCCTTAAACAATAATGTTTTAGGAGCACCCAGGTGGCTCAGTCAGTTAAGTGTCCAACTCTAGTTTTCAGCTTGGGTCATGGTCTCAGGGTTGTGATGGAGTCCCAGTTGAGTTTGAACTGGGTATGGAGCCTGTTTGAGATGTTCTCTCTAAAACAAAACAAAACAGAAAAAAACAAATACTTGATAATGTTTTGCCTTAAAAATAAATTTGGTTTGGTGCTTTGTCAGTAGTAATGTTATTGTATTACACTAAATTTCTCCTTTTCTGTGTTTTTATAAGTCTTCTTAGAATTCTTTGAGTCAATACTGTAATTTTTATGTTTCTAAAAATGATTTTTAGGTTTTCAAATCTACCAGGAAGCAGCACTGTATTTAACATTTTATTTTTATTTGTTTTAAAAAAGTATTTATTTATTCATGAGAGACACAGAAAGAGGCAGACATAGGCAGAGGGAGATGCAGGCTCCTCATGAGGATCATGCCCGGAGTTGAAGGCAGATGCTCAACCACTGAGCCAACCAGGTTGTCCCTATTTCAATTTTTTTTTAAAGATTTTATTTTCCAGTAATCTCTATACCCAACTTGGAGCTCAAACTCAAACTTGATACAGAGTTCCATACTCCACTAATTAAGCCAGCAATGCACCCCTAACATTTTAAACCAGTAACTATATGGTTTCATTGCATATCCATTTTTAAAACATAATTCTATTTCTTTCCACACTTTTTCATCAGTGTCACAATGTTTGTCTATATTGTTTGTTTTGATATTAGGTATTATATTACATAGTAAAAAGGATGCCAGTCTGAGTAAAGTCTTTCCTACACATGCCATATATTACTTTCCCCACTAACACCTAGGATTATTTCATGTTTCGTAGGAAATAAGTGATAATGGAAAATTTTCTGAATTCATTACTGAGTGTGTTTTTCTTCAATTACATGTCCTGCTTGGTGTTCAGCAAGGTCTGCAGAAACTGTTGTTTTTCAACAAATAATACTAATAACAAGGAGTAAAATAAGGACCAACATTCACTGAGTATTTATTATATGACAGGCACAATTCTAAGCACTTTATGTATCTTAATTTTTTTTTATGTATCTTAATTTGATCCTCACAAAATTTTGAGGTAGGTATTATAATTATCCCCGTTTTATAATTTCTACTGAGACAAATATGTATAAAAACATAGAAAAATGCTCAGGAAGGATAAATACTAAACAGATAATGACTATCCTTCAAAAAGGGAAATGGGTACAAGGATGGTAGTCAAAGGGTATGTTTGCCTTTTTTTGCAATGTTTAGATCTTTTAAAAGGAAAATATGTTCATGCATGATTTCTGCAATTAAAATACATGATACAAAGATATGCTTAGGGAGAATTTCCATTAGGGCACTGTGTATAATGGCAAAAACTCTGGGAAACTAAAATGTCTATCAATAAGATTTTGATAAAATGATATCACAGCAACATAAGGAAATACCAGGAAGCTATGAGAGGATCTCTAGTTACTGTGTGGAACGTTGTTATCAATGTTTTTACAAGAAAGCCTAAGTCTTGTAAATAACAAAAATAAGCCATCTTTGAATAAAGAAGTCACTTCTTTCAGATATTAAGTGTTTTACAGAATGTGATGTAAAGAGATGGTCTTTACAGTCACATAAACTTAAGATGGGTTAAAACATTAAAAATAGAGCAACTATATACAGATTAGGGGGAAATGAAAATTAGGTTATTTCAGCATGAATCCTGAGGTTTAAAATAAGGTTAAAAAGGTGTCAAAAGTGCTGTGACTTTCAGTATTTGCTAGCTTGTATTATCTGATGTCAAAAGAAAAATACGTTTTTATTAATGGGCTTCTAAAATATATTCTACTTGTAGAGTGTTTCTCCTACATGATTTTTCCCAGGCTGAATAAGCTGGAGTCAACAAATAAGATGTTCCTACATTATTCTATTTAAAGGGATTATTATCAAGATAAATTCTCTAATGTTGAATAGGTTTTTTTTTTTAATGTTGAATAGTTTTGAGCTGTAATTAAAAGCCTTCCCCCAGATCTCATATATTCTATTGGTTTATCACCAGTACAAATTTTGATGTTGAATAAGTTGTGAGCCATAATTAAAGGTCTTTCCACATTCTCTGTATTCATAGGGTTTCTCACCAGTATGAATTCTATGATGACTAATAAGTTGTGAACTCTGAGAATAGGCTTTCCCACATATCTTACATTCATAGGGCTTCTCACCAGTATGAATTCTCTGATGTCGAGTAAGGTCTGAACCAGAACGAAAAGCCTTTTCACATTCCTTACATTCATAGGGTTTCTCACCTGTATGTATTCTCTGATGTTTAATAAGTTGTGAACTCTGACTAAAGGCATTGCCACATTCCTTACATTCATAGGGTTTCTCCCCTGTATGAATTCTCTGATGTTGAGTAAAGTTCGAGCCACTACTAAAAGCCTTCCCACATTCTTTACATTCATAGGGCTTTTCACCAGTGTGAATTCTCTGATGTCGTGTGAAGTTTGAACCACTACTAAAGGCCTTTCCACATTCCTTACATTCATAGGGTTTCTCACCAGTGTGAATTCTGTGATGTCGAGTAAGGTCTGAACCACAAATAAATGTTTTCCCACATTCCTTACATTCAAAGGGCTTCTTGCCAGTATGAATTTTCTGATGATGACTGAGTCTTGAAGGATGTCTAAAGGCCTTTCCACATTCCTTACATTCATAGGGTTTCTCAATGGTATGAATTATCTGATGTGTATTAATTTGTGAGTCATGTCTAAAGGTTTTCCTATATTCCTTAGTTGTACAGTATTTCTCTTTATTATTAATGATTTGCTGTAAAGTAAAGGATGGATGCTGACTGAAAGTGGACATGCCTTCATGGGTGAATATCAGTTGACTGAAGTGTCCCTCCTGAGAGCCATGTTGTTTCTCAAACTGGCCATTACATTCCCAATCATCTCTGAAACTAGAGCACTGAAGGTCATGTCTTGTAAGTCTTTCCATTATCTCCCACTGCGCTGACTCTATTTCATAAATTTCCTTCTTCAGAAATAATTTCTTGGTCTCACATCTTGATTCCAGGACTGAAAGAAAATATGAAAGTAATCACTCACATTTTTCTTGTTTGGGAAAAATGAAACTTCAGTTAAAATGGGAGAATTAAGCTGAACTTTAAAAAAACAGACAACAAGAGACTCAGGATGGATTATAGTAAGATGAGAGCAGTAAGTACGTCATTGGTTTCCAAACATTGCTACTGATCAGAATTACTTAGGGGAGCTTGCTGAACATAAGGATGACTTAGTCTCATCTCCCTTGATACAAAATGACTCTAATCATAAATACTCACAAAAAAAATCTCACAGCATATGCATACACACCTATAGGAGCATCCCCCAGGATGAACTGTAAAACAAGGGAAATGATCATACCCAAACAGAGTTATTATCAGGATTAAATGAGTATGTCTAAGAAAAAATTCCAGGGGTTGGCAAACTATATGGCCTGCAGCACTGTACCAATTTTTATAAGTAAAGATTTACTGGAACATAGCTACATTTATTTGTTTATGTATTGTGTATAATTGCTTTTATACTATAATGGCAGAAGTGAGTAGTTGTAACAGAGACCACAATGACCACAAACTTAAAATATTTATTATTTGGTCCTTTAGGAAAATGTTGCCAGCCCCTGGTTAGATCTATGTTGTCCATTACAGTAGCCATGAGCATATGTGTATATTTAAATTTAACATAATTAAAATTAAATTTAAAAAACAAATTTAATTCCTCAGTGGCACTGTCCACATTTCCAGTGTTCAATAGCCAATTGTGGCTAGTGACTACCATTTTGGAAATGACAAACATAGGACATTTCCATTATCACTGAAAGTTCTATTGGACAGTACTGGTCTAGATTTTGTAAATGGAGGCCCAGCGTCTCTTTAACAAATGATAAAGAAAGAGGGTAGCAATCCAGATGGGAAAATGAATGAATCTAGTATGAGTGGTAGATAGTGAGGATTCTTTTGTGACTAAATATGGAATATATCTGGGGTTTGATGAAAATACTTTTTGGCTTGGAATTCTGTGATGCTGATCTTAGAAGAGAAGAGGACTTAACAAGCACATAAGCACTATGACAGTGATGAAGAACTGATAGGAAGGGCTTAAAGAGAAAGAAGAGAATATAAAGGCAGTGTTTTGTACTGAAAACTCAGAATTACCGGATTCAGTCAATTTTGAACTCACACTCAAGTTAATTATAAGCTTTGTTTTCTTGGCCAAAGAAATGAACTCATTTTCCTAAGTTCTCAATTCTCTGTTTATACAATAGAAGTAATAACACTTATTGTAAGGATTATAAAGAATATATAAAAAGTATTTGGCATAAAGTAAGTGCTTAGTATTTTAGAGATAGTTCAAAAGAATTTCTACACAAAAATGAGGCTACTAGGCAAGTGAAGTGTTTTGTTTGTTTGTTTGTTTGTTTTTTGTTTTGTTTTTGCAAGTGAAGTGTTTTGAAGACCACACTATGGTGGGTAAGCATCAAACCAAAAAAGTGAAATTCTAATACCATCTTTTCTCTCATATAATTAGTCAGCAAATACTGCCTAATATTGGTTCTAAATATATCTTGAAACTCTTCCTATCTTAAATACAATATCTAATACATCTCTTGAACTATCAGGGCAACCTCTTTCTTTCCTAGGTTCCCTGCTTCAGGTTTGCAATCCGGAATCCATCCCTTATGATGTTTCTCTTACAATAAAAGCCAATCTGCTGAACATGGTCTACAGAGCTCTGAATGATCTAGTTGCTGCCTGCCTCTTCCAACAAATCTCAAGCTATGCTCCCTTTTAGTTACTAAGCTCTATCCACACTGCCCTATTTTGCAGTTCTTCAAATGCTCCCAGGTTTTAATCCCTCTTCAGGTCTTCTCAGAAATTTTTCTTTGTGTCTAGTAGATGGGTTTTCCACTCTTGGCCTTGATAACTATTGCCCATTTTCCAAATCTCTAAAGGTCATACTTTTTCAGGCCTTCTCTGATCCCATGATCAGATTATACCCTCTTTGTAATTAATTACACTTTTAGCACTCTCTTCTCTTCCTTATCAGTATCTTCACAATTCACAATTACATATTTGTTTGTTCGCTTAATATCATTTTCCATGAATAGGTGTTAAGGTCTTCGTGTTTACTTCATTTTAAAAGTAAAATGTCTATTGTTTTCATCAACGTGTATCCAACTTTAAGCACAGTATCTGTTACATACTGGAAGATCAACAAATATTTATTAACTGACTCGATTAACAAGTATTTGAATATATAGTCCTTAGTAAAAGAAGTCTTAAAAAATTCACACAGTGAATATACACATTTACTATTATTCCTTCAAGAAGCTCCACTAAAGTGATAGTGACGAGATTAAATGAAAGAAGAAACTCCACAGGGACAAAAAATAGAAGAGGAAAAAGCAGCAACAAAATTTTGGAAACTACAGTAGAAGTAATGGTAATAATGTGTTAACCATAAACACTCTGAAACCTAGGTTGCAGATTGGTCCTACTGCACAATTCAGTTATTTCCAAAAATTGCAATCAACAGGTACCTTTGAAAGCAGGGTATATGAGGGGCTGCAAAAAGGAAGATCAATTGAAAATCTTTAAGAAACAGACAGACCTCAGGTTCTCAAATCTACCCCATAGAGCAGGCTGATTCCCCAGCTGATATCCTCAGCAAACTTTCAGAATCTGGCAGCCAAGCTCATTTTATTGATTCCTAGAAAGAAAGTACAGGATTCCATTCCAGAGAAAACCAGCCCAAGAGAAAAGATCAGATAGGTGATGTCAGTCAAAGAATTCTTCTAGGTAGATCACTCTACAGTGACTACCACCAATAAATCTGCACATCCTTGGATACAAATAAGCTCAGATCAGCTTTTTACTACCACAGTTTTATATGAGCAGAAAGCCTTGAATAACTAGCAATTTCAGGAAAATCTTAATATGAGAGATTAAAATGAACAATCTTAAACATGAGATTAAAATGAACAAAGGGAAAAACTCAGGAAAGAGAGACAATGGAGAAAAAATTTAAAATTCAGAAGAATGCTTCCAAAATATATAATAATCTCATAAAAGAATAATGTCAGAAAAAAATATTCAGAGAAAAACATCCTTTACAAAAATTAATGAGGGACATGAGTGGCTCAGTGGTTAAGCATCTGCCTTTGGCTCAGGTCCTGATCCTGGGGTCCTGGGATTGAATCCCACATCAGGTTCCCCACAGGGAGCGTTCTTCTCCCTCTGCCTATGTCTCTGCCTCTCTGTCTCTCATGAGTAAATAAATAAAATCTTTTAAAAATTAAAAGAATGAGAATTAGAACTTACTAAAATCTCACAGAAAGTACAACAAAGAATATAAAAATAGAAAAAATTCTAGAGCTAAGACAAGAAATTCAAGATCTGAATTATAAGCGTTTAATCGTTCAAAAAATTTAATGAGCCCATACTATGTGTCAGACATGGTGCCAGGCACTGGAAAGAAAAACTGAACATTCAAAGTTAAAAACACAGAGAACAGGGATCCCTAGGTGGCACAGCGGTTTGGCGCCTGCCTTTGGCCCAGGGTGCGATCCTGGAGACCCAGGATCGAATCCCACATCAGGCTCCCGGTGCATGGAGCCTGCTTCACCCTCTGCCTGTGTCTCTGCCTCTCTCTCTGTGTGTGTGACTATCATAAATAAAAAAAAAACAAAAAAACAAGTCCAGGTTGTTACCTGTGCTTCTAAAAAAAAAAAACAAAACAAAAAAAACCACACACACAGAGAACAGAGAAGATAATGGGGAATAAATAATCAAGAAAATAATACAAGAAATTTCAGATATTTTGTTTCCAGAATGAAATGTCTCAGTGTCCAGACAAATGAAAGAATAAAAATCAACATCATAATACCTCAACTTGAAATATTAGACATTATAAATAAAGAATAAATTCTAAAAGCTTCCAAAGAGATTAAATAGATCACAGAAAAGAATTAAGAACCTGAATGTGTTTTGGATTTCTCAACACTAGATGCTAGATTTTAAAAATCCATAGAGCAATGCCTTCAAATTTTTGAAGTTAAGTTTTTCAACCTAAAATTATATTTCCAGTCAAATATCAATGAAAGATGAGTGTGAAGTGAAAACATTTTCAGACATATAATGATTCATAAAATACACTTTCTATTTACTTTTCTTGCATACTTTCCTTGATTGCTTCTGGAACATGTGCCTCAGAATAACAAAGGAATAAACCCAGAAAGAGGAAGGCAAGAGACCCAAGAGTTGGGGTATACAAATGTATCTGAGGCATCCAAATACAGAAGAGAATCAAAAGAAATTCAAAGGAGCATGGTGAAGGGAATCAATGATAATGAAGAGAAATTCTAAGATGATAGCTATGTAACAGTCTCAATTAGGGCAGAAGAACAGAGGGTTAGAGGAGACATATCTCTTAAAAAAAATAAACCAGTTACCTGATGTGTCTGAAGAGTTAGATTTATGAGAGCTACTCAGAAAACTAAGCAATTCTCAATTAAGGATTAATTATTGATCACTATATTAGACACTTACAACTAATATAGCATGTATGTTGAAAATACTGGAATTAAAATTAAAAACTTAACGACAAGGATTAATTGCATGGAAAAGAACAAATCATACAAGTGAAATGTGATTACAGAGCTCAGCAATGAAAGCTGTTTTACATAGTCATTAAGTGAATTGAACAATAATTTAGAAGTCATGACATAATTATGCTTAGAGGATAAAGGAAGGTGTGTGCTAAATTTTAATCTTAAAATTCCACCATGAAAAGTCAATTATCATTAAAACTAGAAATCATGAAAAAAATTCTCAGAGGAAGGACAGAAATGGTGACAAAAAAGCGGTGGGAATATTATATAGAAAATAAATATAGGGCAGCCCTGGTGGCACAGCAGTTTGGCGCTGCCTGCAGCCCAGGGTGTGATCCTGGAAACCGGGGATCTAGTCCCACGCCGGGCTCCCTGCATGCAGCCTGCTTCCTCCTCTGCCTGT